GTCACGCCCCCTGTTCCAAACCTAAAGGTTCCCTTTGATTCCAAGGGCTCCACACACACACTCGAGAAATATCGCGTACGATTTGAATCCGCCACCTCCCAAAAGACCTACTGTATATAAGTGAGAAAAGGAGCCTGAGTAAAGCATATAAGGGGGTTTGAGCATCCTGCAGTGTCGAGGCCCAAAAACCTAACTCCAAAGACTCAATCCAAAGAAATCCGATTCGAATGAGAAACTATGGAAGGCTGCATGGCATGTCTGCCGATCTCATTCGCACTTATTTCACTGCAAAGCCGAAGCCAAGAGAAACATATTTTCCTAGCAAGCAGGGACCATGAGGGAGTGAAAAGTCGCATCAGCAGGTGCACCAGGTTGATCAGACCTGGCCTCCACCATCACGCATAGCTTCGTTGGCATGCGTTTGCGTGATGGCCGCATGCCCTGCAGTTCACACTAGAAACCAAGAAATAGAATACTTTAAAGTCCAAGGGTGTACACTCTGACATTGGTTTTCAGTTAACTCAATTTCCAGGAAAAATGGTGATGGAACCGAAAGGTGAAATGGTCGGAGCACTTGAAGATGTTTCAAAAATGGTTTGTGCACATCTGCAGTTCATGAACGCGCGGCAGCTGAATGCGGCTGAAGGAAAAAGGTTTGGGGGGAGTATCGTGGAACCACCATGAATCAAAGCGAGAAAAATTGGAGTGACAGCTTGTGCAAAAGTTCTTTCAGCAGGTACACAGATTGGCGTCCCAATCTGCTTCACGGAATGTCCACAGCTGTCTTCGTTGGCAGCAGAACTGTGGATTCCCTGCTGCCCCCTGCTTGCATGAAAAGCTGGGAAAACCGTTGCAAAACCCTTAGAAACAGGGTGTGACACACACAACAAGCCGAACTCGGCGCGGGTGCAAAGCAGTGGATAAAACGGACTTTTTCAAAAACCGCCTGCACGCTTGCAGGTCATGCCCTTTTTGGGCATAGAGTTGGACCAGTGCTTCAGCCGCAGCTGTTGCGTTGTGAGGTGGGAAAGTGTAGGTGTAAATGGCATGGAGTCTGGAAGCAAAGCCGGAAAGAGCCAAGCGCTGGCTACCGGCGCTGGTGTGGTCCCTGATTTTCCAGGGTTGGGTCGGTTGCATGTAGGTGATAGTTCATTGTTGAAGGTCAATGTTGAAGCCCAAGAGAGTGAAGTCATCCACAGTTTCCAGTTCGACGGGATCGCCGAAAAAGTTGTGGTGGATGAGTGTCTGAATTGCTGGGTGGGTAAGGAAATGTTCGCTGTGAATGATGAAGCGGTTGTCGACATACCGATAGTATGTGAAGGGGAGGGCCGTGTGCTGGAGAAGATTGTTGTGGAGCTGGTGCCAGGAGTGTTCAATGAGAGTGATGGCGACGTTGCAAAGGGCAGGGGAGAGCTGGGAGCCAATCCCAGCGCCTCGGATTTGTTTGTAGGTGTTGTTGCATGCCCGGAAAATGCATGTGTTGAGTGCGAAGGCCACAATCGTTGTGATGTCGGAGGTGTGATTGGTGCGCTGTGTAGGGTGACGGAGGTGGTGCCTGCCGATGTGGGAGTGGTGGAAGGGGTTGCCTGTGGCTTTGGTGTCGACTGTAAGTGTATGTGTATTGTTCTGGCGCTGCCATTGTTGAATCAGAGAGTGGACGGCATCAATCAAACGGTATTGGGGAACTGAGGTGCAGAAGCCCATGAGATCGTCGTTGGTGGCATGGAGGGGGATGTCCGGAGGTGTTTGGGTGAGGTAGCAATGGAAGTGGGCCCAAAGCTGTGGGATGGACATTTGGCCTGGAAGTTGGGGGAGGAGGTGTTGTAGGATGATGTCGAGTGCTCGGCTGGTGAGGCGGAGGAGATTGCCACTGAGGCATTGAAAGTAAGAGATAATGGTGCGCCCTTTGCGCCAATGCTTCTTTTCCTTCAAGTGGACAATGCCGTACGGGATCGTAAAATCCTTGCGGAAGCCCCATTTGTAACGTGTACGAAGGCTGGAGGGGACGGTGTTCAAAAGGTATTCGTGGATGTTCGATGGGTGGAGTGCTGGCATGGGTTCAAAGAGTTCCGGTGCTTGCCAGCCCAGAGCATCCTCGATTGAAAAAAATCAAGTGCACGATTGAAAAAACAAATTTCAAGCGTCGATTGAAACTTGAATTTTATGATACTTTTTCAAGTGGAGGCATGTTCTTGTCGATTGAAAATTCGATTGAAAAAACATATTTTTCGATGAAAATTCGATTGAAAATTCGATTGAAATTTGATAAGGAAAAAAGTCCTTTAAGTAGCTTTAAAACTTGAAGTTTTTTGACTATATCTGTGTACTTAAAAAGCTTTGTCTTATTACTCAGCTGACTGAAAAAACTTTGT